CTATGTTTGTCTCTCTCTTTGTCTGTCCGTCTCTGTTTGTCTCTCTCTCTGCCCGTCTCTATCTCTGTCTCTGTCTCTGTCTCTGTCTCTGTTCTGTCTGTCTGTCGTTCTCTCTGTTTATGTCTACCTGTGTCTGTGTGTGCGTCTCTGTGAGTCTGTCTCTCTCTTTTCGTCTCCATCTGTGTCTGTCTGTCTGCTTGTGGGCCTCGCTCCAGTACTCACTACATGCACAAAAGACAAAATATGCGGTGTATCTTTCCATGTTCGAGCGGAAGATTCATTGTCATTTTGCATCTTAGGTGAGTCGTGGAGCGAGGCCCTGTCTTTCTCCCTGTTTCTCCCGCGGGTCTCTGTGTACCATCTTCTTTAAATGTGTATCTTTCTGTACGGGTCTTTCTCGCTACCCCTATCCTTGTCAAGGTTACTTTGTCTGTTGGCCTGGCGCCACCACAGAACATTCGAAATGTACCTGAGCTGTTAGTGATCCAGGTACATTCGGGCTGACCAAACATTCTCTTTGAACAGGGACAACAGCCACACAGATACAATTCGACTGTTATGTAGTGGATTGAGCCCCTACTTGCATTTGGACGCCTTTCTGGACCAGGTGTGTTTGGAGTCCAACATTTGGAATGTATCAGGACGATTATGACCTCCAGATGCATCTCTAGTGTTGTGTAGTGGAGCGAGGCCCTTTCTCATTTGCCCTCATCGGCTCACTCCCTTTTCTGGGGGGTGTGGTGGTGGGGGTAACATTGTTTTTCTCTCTTCGCCTCCTTTCTTTTATTATATTAGAGTTTAATTTTCAAACGATGGTGGAGAGAATGGATGGTTAAAAACAAACAAAAAAGAGTGGATGGTTCGAGAAGGTGTGTTGTCCTTTGGCTCGCCGTTTAGGTGCAGGAGGAGGATGCTACTTTTTTTTTTTTTTTTTCCCTTTTAAGTAAGCTATATTCTTCTCTCATCTATCTCACCTTCTTGCCAGTACTCGTCTATCTCATCCTCTCGCTAGTCTTCACGCGAATCGAACACCGGCTAGTCAGTATAACTGTATTTGGTGCAGCTTTCACTCCAGATGCAGCGGTAATTGACCAGGCGTTCTATTCGGGTGAAGACGGTAGGGGTAATCCCGGGTTTGTAGTGGAAGCAATGGAGAGTACAATGCGTAAATAGTGTACCTCTAATCCACGCAAAGTAGAAACACAGTTCAAATGAGTGAGAACGAGTGGAAACGGCATCCCCGGCCGCCGCTACCTGCTTCATCCGAATAGAACGCCCGGTCTTATAGATGTATCTAGGCTTGAAACTTGCGCCAGATACAGCTATGATCACCGTCTTATAGCTGTATCTAGGCTTGAAACTTGCGCCAGATACAGCTATGATCACTGAGTCCACGCAAAGTACGAATCACATCTTCATAGATTCGACGAAAGCTACTACAAAATGAATGACAATGAGTAGAAACGGCAACCCCGACCGCTGCTACCTTGTTCATTCGAATAGAACGTCCGTCTTATAGCTTTATCTCGGCTGAAACTTGTGCCAGATAGAGCTATGATCACCGAGACGATGCAAAGTAGAAACACAGTTCAAATCACTTGAGTGGAAACGGCATCCCCGACGCACGTTTCGACC